ATTTTATGGCATAACCTGGCAAACGTGTTTTCAGAATAATGGTTCTGAATAGTTTTTACTAATATAATTTTTTCTCTTTCTTTGTTTCAGGTATGCAAAGCTGTTTGAATCGTACCTTATTTGGACATCAGGCATGGGTAAATTGTTATTTCAGTTCATCGTAGAAAATTAAATTGGATTGTGACCGTTGCGTTGGTACAATTTTATACCTCTCTTTTTAGCGTACTTAATTGGATGGATTTAATCAGGACAGCTCAGCAATGTCACATGTTGCCTAGTTTTCTCTCTAAGTTCTTCTACACTAAGCAAATAAGCAGCATTCTCCTGTGTACATCTGTAAAATAATTCTTTATAATTGAAGGTGAATTTATGTGAATTTTCAAGGCATTCTGTTGTTTTAGCCACTTCATCAAAATAAATATGAAGTGCACTAAAAAATGAGTGGTGAAGCCCGGATGGCAAAATTTCGTGAAAAACAAAATCTTGAAAGTCACATGAAATATTTCATGAAATATCCGAAATTTATGAAAGATATCGAAAAATACCGGTTCCTTTTCATGTTTCGCAAAATGTAAAAATTATTTGTGCGTGTTGGAGTGCGGGTTGCATACTCTATCTCCTGAAAAATATGAAATATTTCACAGCCTCGTGAAATTTGATGAAATGTTTAATGGAAATTTCCGATTTTTGAGTCCTCTCTTACGTTTCATGCCACCCTGCGGGCCGATTATTGAAACTGATAGACAAGGCTATAGACAAAGACTATAAAAGGGATTTGGATGGATCCTATTGGCGGAAGCGGGTGGTGGCAATGGACATAGGAGGTAGGTTTTGGACTAACTAACGGCAACCCACCAAAGACCCGACAGTTAGTCCATCATTTTCTTCCTTAGTCCATAAGAACCAACCATGTCAACCAATAGGATCGCTCTATACTCCCTATGTCTTCTTTGTCTATAGCTTTGTCTATCAGTTTCAATAATCGGCCTGCTGGACTGAAGCCCCGGAAATTGTAGCTTCCATCCGTCGCCTAGACTGCCTGGAGGCCAGTGGAGGGTTTCTGCTGGTCTCGGATGAGCGCTGCACTGGGCCGTAATGCAAGTGCAGTGAGTACTCGGCGCTCCTTGCACACACGTAGGAATCGTGAGCGGTGACGTAATGTTTTGATCCTGACACAACGGCGACGTGCACGGTGCACGGCTCAAGTTACTCCCGGGCCCGGGATCACCAGATGCATAAATTAGGAGTCCAACTCAACTCCTCATCGCTCATTGCACCTCCTTCTCGCATTTCGCCTTCCTCCCCACCCCCTCCCCCTCTCGCCGAGTGTCCGTGACCCAATCACAAGATTAAGGCTGTCAACACGGGCTCAGGGGGTTGACAGAGATCTCTGTTCCGACGGAAGACACAGCAGGGTTCTTAGCGACTATCAGGCTGGCTTCTGGAATTAATAGACGAAGAAGACAAAGCGAAAATGGAGCGATCCTAATGGTTGTTACAGGGTTGCTTCAATCAAGGAAAACCGGGAAATGTCAGGGAATTTTAAAAATTCAGAGAAAACCGGGAAATTTACGAAAATGCCAGGGAAAATTTTTTAAATCACCTTCATTTGCTTTCTTGAATGAGTTTGAGGTTTCGAGCAAGAAACTTTGCCTGAAAACTATTTTCAATTATACCTTTTTAACCATCCGTCACATCTTCAAGTGTCAGGGAATTCTATCAAAATGAGTCAAGGAGATGTCAGGGAGTTTTATTTTCTAAATTCTGTGACAACCCTGTTATTGTAGACTAAGCGGGGAATTGATGGACTAACTCAAGGGTTCCTCTTGGGTTGCCATTTTTCGTCGATCATCCGCTTTCCCACTAAAAGAAAAGCCTCATTTTCTCTTCGTCTGCTTTTTCTATTACTTCCAACAGTCACCCTGCAGAGAGGGTTCTTGCAAGTCGTCAAAATTGGCTTTTGCCTGATTAAATGTGAGGAATACAATCTATACACTGTGTCATCAAGATGAGTGATTTTATGAATGAGTCAGGCATAATACGAGTCTCATAATTTCTCATTACAAACTCTGACCCATATATGTATTACAGATGCTTGTAAATAGATTGAGAACAGCATCGCCAATTCTTGGAACCGGGAAAACACAGGGAATTCCATTTGACGGGGACATTCATGAACAATGCATAACATTAGGATAAAATCTCTGAAAAGGCGGAATGTATTTTGTTCAGTTTGGGGATTTATAGTTTTGACTTTTCATGCAACAACTCGCTCCAAGTTCCTCGTGATTGATTTCATTATAATATAGAAAGGCCCGTAATGCCCCCTTAATTGCTGAGCGAATCCCCCAGGATTACGGTCGCAAGTCGCTGAAATCCATAACAGGAGAGCGGACTAAATTCCACCCCATCTTGCAACCCCTTGGCATATTCAAGAGGGAAATCTCGATCTTTCCCCCTGACTTAATGCTCCACTTTCCTTCCTCCGGCTCCGGCGCCGTGGGCTGTGGAAATCTAAAGTAAACTTGAAGTTCTGTCCCCCCGTGCCTCTCGTTGTTTTATCGCGGTAAAGGGCTCTCCAGGGCAACGACCTGCCTATCGGCCATAGGGATTACTTCGCAACGTCCGAAGCGAGCCTATAATACCTACCTTTAAAGTCAAAACGTCGCTCGGTCGTGAAAGAATGGGAAAATCTGACGAGTATGCCACACAGTGGATCGAGTCAATAGGAGAGGTCGGACAAAATTTGGAAACTTTAAACGCTTTTAACTCTGTTTTTAAAAAATTTAGAGGTTCTAAAAGTGATTTCATTGGTTTCCTCGTGAACTTTCCTTCCATAACCATCCCTTGAAATTCAATATGTGACGAAATAAACATCAAGATTTGAAGTTTTAGTCGAAACTCTCATGTCCTACCTCCTCTATTGACTTGATCCACCGTGTGCCGTGGGCTTTTTCGAACAATTTTCCTGCCTGGGATCCGGCGATCGCTAGCAGCGGTTTTGAGAGGCGTAAGCCGCAAATAGAATAGTTCTCAAGTCCTGTGTTCGAAATCTATACAAAAAATATACTATCTCTAATCATAAGCTTAATACAGGGTTGCCATAGTCAGGGAAAGCCGGAAAATATCAGGGAATTCTAAAAAGTCAGGGAAAACCGGGAAATGTCAGGGGAAATTTGTTGAATCTCCTTCATTTGCTTTCTCTAATTGGTTTGAGATTTTGAACAAGAAATTGTGCCCGAAAACTATTTTCAATTATGCCTTCTTAACCATCCGTCACATCTTCAATTGTCGGGGAATTTCATTTTCGATATTCTGTGGCAACTATGTAATTTCATTTAGCCAGAAGTCGCAACTTCCTCCGGGAGAATCCAGAGAAAGTGAAGCAATGTGTTTTTCTTTTTAATTATACCGACCTCCAATTGAAGTATCTGACTATCAGCACGTCGGAAAATCTCTACTTTCCACAAGATTTTCCCTACATCTCGACGGAGGAAATTACCGTGCGTCATGGACGACGCGCCACCGGGCGTGAAACGAGCCATAAAATAAGGGCGTTCGTCGATGACGTCACCGTGGAAAGAGCGCACCTGCGATCCGCGCNGGGGGGGGAGGGGGTCCCGCGCGATGCCGTAACGTCGCTCGCTCGGCGTCGCCGTCACGTCCAGGTAAAACATGCAAATGCACGAGCTACGCAGACGACGGGAAACCGCGAGGAAATTTCGGTGTAGTGTCCGTAGTGGAATATTGATGGGGTTGCCCGCCCGCCGCACCGCTGGGAGGCCATGAATGATTTAACGAGGCGGGCAGCACCGGGAGCAGAAGCTGCGGCTCTGTTGCCTAATCTACCGGAAACAAACGCCACGTTTTGATCCGACGGGTTCACAGTATCAAATTTTTCATTCGACATAATTGGACGAAAAGTTGGATGGAAATTTGAACGCGAAAAAAGTGTGATAAAATTCCTCTCCGTTCAACTTTCACCCCGATTTGTGGCGCTGATTGGATAGGAAGTTACACGAAAAGTTGGACGTGACGTCACATTTAAGTTCCTGTTCAATTTTCCGTCAAATTGTCGTTTTCTCGCGTCAGTATCACTGTCCGACTTTTCATTCGACAAGTTGCATTCAAGAGTCGAATGGAAAGTTTGATAGTGTGAATTCAGCTTAACGCTCATGATTTTTAACGATGGTTTTTCCTTCTATTTACATCTGTCGTTTTGTTAACTTTTGCATGAGAATTTTGACATTTTCCTTGGCATTTCGTCCAAAAATTATCCAAAAATTTGAAGTTTATGACAAAGAAATATTTACAAATCCCCTCGAGTTTCGGGAACTCTAAACGTTACTATTCAACAGCGCGAATTTTCGGGAAACAAACTGAATCATTCTATATTTACAAAATGTAATATTTCCTGAGGACTCGCGGCAATTTTAAGTTGCGAAGGTTTACATCGTCACCCCAGTTACAATGCAAGAATTGCAGGAATTCGCTCCAATGTTTTCACGAAATTAGACTGGGAGGATTCAACGAAACACGAATAAGAGTACCGCAACACGGAGAGTCTTAGTTTAATATCGCGTGATTTCCAAATCGAGCTTTTGAGATTCTTGAGGATCCTTCTCCCTCGGAGAATGTCGAACAATACCCCACCGTCACTTTTTCCTCCCCCACCCCCTACCCAGTCCCGGAGCCGCGCTCAATCTGTTGCGCTACATGTCAACGGGAAGCGAGCGAGTTTCGGAGATACCGAGGCAACGATGAGCCAAAGTCTGAAGGCGGGGCGGGAGGGGGCGGGGGAAGGGGAGGGGAGGGGAGGGGAGGGGAGNNNNGGGGAGGGGAGGGGAGCGAGCCCCCAGCGGGCGCGAGGGGTGGTTTTTCGAGTGTAGGAGTAGATCGACGCCGCCGCCGCCGCCGCGGATTCGACCCCGCGAGCGTGCGCGCGGGCGGCCGCCGACGCCGAGCGGGGGCAGGCCGAGCGCGCGGGCCGTCAGTCGAGCCCCGAGCAGCGAGCGACGCGCACATCCCCGTCGCCAGCGCCCTCTACCGCCGCCGAGCGACACGCGAAACCCAGGATCCACGACCAAGAGTAAGAAACCCCCGAGTGTGTGTGTGTGTCAACAAGTGCGACCCGCGCTTGACCCGGCCACGGCGTCGGGCAACAAGTGTCGGTGGTGCGTCGGACGGTGGATTTCGGGGTGACCCGGGCGTTGAACCCCCACCGAGCATAACCTACATTCCCGCCCCCGCCCCGC